ACATTCCCCACATTCCTTCCCCTCATCCTCTAGATTGGCTCCAGTATGGCCAAACCGACAAAACCCTCCCCTGGTCTCCTGCCAGTTACATGTTTTATTTTGGTACCACCGATGTTTTTGACCGGTCTGACTTTGATACTCAACTCGGATTCAACCCCACGAAACTCTCTATTCACGTCGCATACCAGCCCTTGGCTGAAGGTGCCAACGATGATCTACAAATCAAAAGTAAAATTGCCATTTTTATTTCTGATCTCGACACTGGAATTATCTATGCGATCGCGGTTGTCAAAGGCGAGATTTTCGTGTCATTTGTACAGGTAGAGCCTACGAGCACACGGATCCCTACCCACATCCCTGATCTTATTCCGCGTTTGGTCCTTGTCACCCTTATCCCTTCCTGCACCCTCGTTTTCATTGTGACCAGGCTGCTTCGAAACTCTAGTCTCTTGCCCACTACTCTCACTCTTACCATTTCTCCCATTTGTACTGCCTCGACTTCTGCCCCTATTGCGCAACATCCCGGCTCATTACTAGGAGAATTGACGCCTGCCGATGGGAAATCACATTTGAACGCGGCATTGCTCGATCCTAAACTCACCAATGACTTTCGGTTTTATCCTTGTCTTATCCGGATCCCAACTACAGTCCCTGCCACAGCCTGTGATGATGATGTATTGATGAAGAATGCCTAGCAGTGGAAGAAAGGAGAGATCCTCGTGGACGATCTCTGGAGGGCGTATGTAACGGAGTCGTGACCTGTTACCTGCGTATTAACACTTTCCTTATCATTTCCTTATCTTATCGCAGTCTACCTCGCTCGTTGCTTACTCGTTTCCTTTTATATTGTATCTACTTATAGTAATAGTCTTCAGAAAGGTATATAAGGTAGCCGTTTACTGTAAGTACGATAGGTTTCAGCAGAATCAACTCACCAGTTACAACGGTTCTCTCTGCACCTACCTAAAATTCCCCACTTCTCGTGTGATACTACAGTGATTCGTCACCTTAGTGTTACAGCAACTAGGCCGCATTGTTCTCGGGGAATTGAATTTCGCCCGTATTGGAGTAATGTGCTGGTCAAATTGGTTCCTATATGCTGAAAGGGTACGGTACTTTCAAGCACTTGGTCGCAGGCCATTAGTCGATCCTACAAAGTGTCTTTGACGCTTAGCTGATATCTTTTGGGCGCCCATATTCACACCGCAAACTTCGGGGGTTTACAAAAAAAATCAAGTTCGTAGGATCCCATGTCACGCCCCCCTACTTATTACGAAGTGATCGAAAGGGCACAGTATATAGAAAAGTAGTATCAATTTGGTATCAATGTATCAATGATTTACAGGAACCAGCGAAGTTACTCAAGCTGAGTGCATAGTCCCTTCCTGACAACTTTCAAAAACTCTGGAGCTTGTTCCCAGTGCAGCTGGTGATATATGAGTCGAGAATCCTCATATCTAATGACAGTGCACCACTCACAAAATGATTTGCGCCGTCAATGTCGAAGAATTTCACATCCCTGGCCTGCTTGAGCGAGTTTCTTCTGCTAATGGCATCATAATATCTTTTCTTCGTTTCTATCTTCCCCCACGCACACACCCAATTGCTTCGTTTGGCTCCAATATAAGATATCCTGACATCCGGGAACCACTGTTGAATGGCTTTCTCGTCGAACAGAGCCTGATCTGTAAGCATACAGATAGTTTTTTGCATATCAGGCATGAACCTATACATTATCCGTTAGTCCTTTTGGTGGGAGTAGTACATCGACTGTGCTTGATGTGCACTTACATCAAAATTTCCGTTGCTGCTGTTTCCCCTTCAATACCTTTTGCTTTTTCCTCCTCCGACCACAAAGAGACCGAGTCTTTCTCTGTCTTAGCACGGCCATCGAGATCATGTATACTCGCCGTGTAGTAGGATAAGCTTTGACACTGCGAGTCATAATATGGATGATCATAATATGATGCAACCCAATCCGAAAAGACTTTGGTGTGTTCTCCCGGGGGAATTGTTAAATCTTCCCATGGAACGTAGTTTTTGTTATCTGGTGGGAGTGGGTATCCGAAGGCGAGATGAGGCGGGTCTGGAGAGTATAATTGAATGAGCGGGGTTCGGATAGGTTACCGGTGCTGGAGAAGTACTAACCATAAAGAATGCAATCGCCAATATAATCCTTGAGTATATTGTAATGCTCGTCAGAGATCATCGGATTCTTCACCGTACCCAACAGCGATAACGCCGTCGCACACCCGAAAGACCATCCCATAATTGCTACTCCACCCCGACTGTCGAAGTCTGATCCTTCAGACTGAGATTTCGTAGTCAATTTTGGAATTCCTTCTTTTGCGACAAGCATAACCACGAACTCGGCCACTTGGGCACTTGATCGCTCCCAAAATACCTTTTTGGCTTCCGAGATCTCCTCCAGCTCGGTGGGGCTGTAAGGGGTGGAGCCAGCGTAGTCTCTTCGATGAAGAAGGACAGTACGTAGGTTGTGGGCATGAGCGGACGAGTGGAGTTTGTGGAATTGATCTATACAGTGGTACAATAAGCCATGAGACTCGGAAGGCGAAGTGATAGAATCAGATTACTTACAAGCGTTGAATCCTGTGCCATGTATGACGAGAAGCGTAGTATAGTCTATTGAATTAGGAGGGGCTCCGCTATCAGTGAAGGATAACTCAATTCCTTCAGAGAGGGAGTACGTTTGGACTGGGTGGGACATAGTAGTAAGCAGTAATAAGCACGTCCTCTCCCAAACTGTATTTATAGAGGAGATGATTCATATTCATATTCAAGCCTCGGTCAGGCTTGGATCTCATCGTGATTTAAGTCGCCGTCTTGGATCTAATTGTGGTCATTAATTTAAGTATGTAGAAATTCCGGAATTATGGACTACTACATACAATGTGGAGCCAAGATGAGAGCTGTCCAGGAGCTGTTCATGGGACTCATATTTGACAAGAATGTGACGAATTCTGCTTTGTATTTCTATGTACATCGTAGACATCTCTTACACCCTTACATACCGATTACGCATCAACTCACACCCCTGAACCATGACGGAAGGTGAACCTCTTGACCGTTAACGATTATCCATTCAAGGAGGAAAGCCTGTCCCATCAAGAGGGCGAACACTCTAAGTGATCAGACAATATCATTCTACGACTTGATCTGATTTCCAAGTGAGAAAATCGCATGGTTTCAGTGAGAAGGCAGAGAGGAGTAGTATCCAGATGACTAGACAATATCATTCTGGTAATTAACTGCCTCCAAAAGACTATGAGTAGCGATGTCCACCGTAGCGGTCCCGTATACAGCAATATACAGTCATTCCCACGTCCTTCGAACCTCTGAATAGTGGCCTCGGGCAAAAAAAAAAAACACCTCAGATTGCCATCGTACGTCTGTCCTTTAGCTCATCGTATGAGACCCTTACATGTTGCCCAATACTCTAAAAAAAACATCAAACCGCAAACAAGATTTAAGCTCATTGTCTCGTACATTGAAATTGAATATCGAACCGAAATACTTACGAGATACCCGGGTAAGTTTTCTTCAGCATTATGCAGTGTGTAATAGTTTATGTACATGCGTACGACACCTCGCAGATGTACGATTAATGAGTAAGCCTCAAAACCGCTGACCGTGTCTTGAATACATTTGAACTTTATCTATTCTTGCAGCAGTCGGATCCCAAAAAGGGTCCGTAAATCGGCCGCTTTCCCCAAGTTGTAAATGACTGTGAGCTCTGTACAGCCATAAATCGGCTCCTGTACTACAAGTCAATACGAGCTGCCACTGGTTCTCCGCGGCTGGTTATAAGCCGCCACTCTGCGACTGGATACAAGCTATCAGCTGAGAATGCTGGCCATGGCTGGATACTTACAAGCCACCAATGGCCGAGTGGTCATGCAAGCCGCCAATGGCTGAGTTAGCGCCACTGCTCTGCAGATCTTCACACCTCCAAGGGCGGAATGACCATGCAAGCCACCAATGACCGAGTGAGCGCAAGCTTCAATATCTATTCGATGACCCTCGATACTGCTCAAGGATATGCCGAATCGTGAAAGATCTCATTCGACATCTCCTTAGTCTGCCTTGTCATAACACCCTTTGCGCGACAAGTACCCTAAAACATCGTAAAGCGGCGAAATATCGATCTGGGGTTGCTTCCTATGTCGGAAACGATGAGAATGATAGAGAAGGATTGCCACCTCGCACGAGGTTTTCGCTCTGTCAATAACGCATTTACCTGCTATATGTTTTAGAGTTCAGACCATATGTTTATCGAACAAACAAAATGCATGAGACCGTGGATTAAATGATGCACAACTGCGGCTTGATGCTACTGGAGCTTATCTTGAAAACGAACAAGGTTATAGACTCTTATAATTCTTTCGACCAATTCCTCCCCTTCCTCCCACTGTCGCGTGAGATAGTTCAAATGTTGGAGCCTCAAGCTTCACTCATAATGTCCAATTGATAACGGACGGCAAGAGAGCTGAGAGTCGGAGGACAAGACCTCTGCTTCAGCTTGCTCAGCTCGCGGGCGTCGAAATCAAGTGCTCTTCTCTTGAAGGTCCACCACCATCTATCCGTGTCAGTTCCTTGCGTACTCCGAGTTGATCTAACAATACCGTGCGTACAGATTGAATGCGGCCCAGTCCTGCCTCTGGACGACCGGATAAAGCCACGAAAATATAAGGAGAGTAGTACTATAAAGCTTAGGTAGCGGGAAGTCCTGGAGTCGTGCGCTACCCAAGTTCAGTCTCGACTTTCGACTCCGACAGAGCCATCCGATCTTTGACGTTAGCTGCAACACATGATTTTAGATGTAAATAATGAGTATTGCTTGCGCTGGAGCAGGAATGTGGTTTTCATGCTTGCTCCGGTGCACGCAAACAAAGACTACTTCTCTTCACCTGTGGTACGATTTGCTCGTACGTCGGTAAGGCTCCGACCCCTGAGGATGTGTAGCGCTCAATGGAAACCATAGCAGCATGGCGCAGTGGTAGCGCGCGGGGCCCATATATGTATAGAATATACCATATACCCCGAGGTCACTTGATCGAAACAAGTTGCTGCTACTAGTCATTGGCAAATGTTTGATCTCTTTTTCGGATTTTTGCGGAGATTGGTATGTAACAGTCGAAGGAATACTTCTGAGGCGACTTTCTCCAGTCTTGAACTTACTGAAAGCAAACTTAGATATACGTTGGTTGATTATTGCCGCATCGCGCTATCAATGTTATGTCCCACCCTGCCCATTGATAGTGACAAGTCCAAAATGTCTTCATTAACAGTCCTCCGTCCAGTGGGTTGTGGATAGTCACCCTAGATTTGGCCCACCAGCCGAATAAGCAGTTTATTTTCGAAACGTCGCCGAAACGGAGGTACAAGAGCATTGCCCTAGATTGTCCTGTCGGCAGCACTGACTCAGGCAGGTCATTCTAAGTTGGTATGTTCCTCAATAGTATAGCTGCATGGCGCATTGGTAGCGCGGGGGGGCAGCGGGGGCCCCATACTTCTATTTCGGATGCGCCCCGTCACTTGATCGAAACAAGTTGCTGCTATTAGTGTGAAAAAGCGAATTATCTTTTTCGGTTGCTGAGATCGGTATCAAAGCAACTTGGACTGCTTCAATTTCAATGAACTTCAATTCCTTAATTTACCTAGCTAAAAGCAGACTATATACTAAGACCTCAACTTGTCCTATGCTGTTAGTATGTCTCGCCCTCTCCATTGAGAGCGACAAACCCAAAATGTCACTATTCTTCCTCCTCCGTCTGGCACCCCAAATTTGTCCTGCCAGCCGAATAAGCATGCGAAGCTTCTAATCGTTTTCGAAAGAATTCCAAGCGGGGGCACAAGACCAAGCAAGAGTCTGTTGCGAGACCAAGGTAGCCTACACGTTGACCATGCGTCATCTGGTTTGCACAGTGATCACGAAGAGACAGGACGTAGAGATGAATATTCTTGTAAACGCAGACGTGATGAGCGTCTCTCAATTAAGCGCCGTGGTACCGGGCCGGTGACATCATGTTTCTGGTCACACCTTTATCTTTCCATCTTCCGACGACCTCTGCGACTTTTAACGACTGTTACGACGGCTCAATGGCCACCTTACCGGACCTCTTACCCACAACGCCGTATCTTATAGCTTATACCCTTCCTCTATTCTTGGTTTCCGTCGTTCTAACTTTTGCTGGAGCTTTTCTGATTTTGGACCGAACGAGAAGATTCAGTCCGAGATACGATGCGCTACCTGGGACATTAGGCAGCTCAAAGGGCCTGAAAGGATTAATGGTACTGGAAGGAGGCGTTGGAGGTCTCTTACTGGGCTATGCGTTCGGAGGTTAGTTGATTTATTCCATAGATATCTGGATAAAGCTAATGCTTTTCTGCAGTCCATTTATCGACATTCCTGGCATTAATCATTCCAACAACCGTATCTTCCTCAGCTAATCTCTCTGGCGGTGCATTTGTCGCTGTATGGCTTCTATCTGCGCTGACTACGACAATTCTGTGCGGGAGATACAGCGTCGCAGCCATATCACTCGCGGGAATATCTGGTGGTGCATTAGTCTCTCTCGCCATCTGTGTCATTATACACCCACCTCTGAGTGCCAGAGTCATCTTTACAGCTGTCGTCATATGTTTGCTAACACTCTCACTTGGTCTCTCCTCATTTATTCCCGCATTAACCCGATTCAAACACCCCTTTCTCCGATTCGCCGCTTCATCCGTCGGTGCTTTCGGCGTCACAGTGTCTATCTCTCTCTTTTCCCACTCGACTCCTTCCTGGTCAGACGTTTGGTCACACCTGTATGTACCCGCCTCAGTCTCCTGGGGTACATCCGCCGAAAAAGGCCTTTCTGCGCTGTTCTGCATTCTGCTCATCGTTGGTGCTGCGTGTGATTATCTACTGTGGAGGAAATGGGGTGAATGTCCAGATGAGAAATGGGATAATTATTTGGCAGAATATGCGACGAATTTGCCGAATCGTGCTGGGACCTTTCATCCATTTGGGTCGGTTTGGGATCGGGTGTTTGGACATGGACACGAAGCTTTGGACACCAAAGACCATAAGGTCATCTTTCCTCTGGATATCGAAATGGGAATGGGAGACGCCGATACGAAACCGCCACTTCTTCGATACGATACGGGTGCAACCATGGTCAACGAGTCGGAACAACTGTCGGTATACAAGCTTCCGCCTGGTTTACTCAAGAAAGGCCGTCGTTCATCGTTGGCGTCGAAAACTGCACCCCATGGCTTCCGTAGGAAGGAACCGGTTAAATTCCGTCCTGTGGACGAAATCAGCTCGGATGAGGAAGATGAAGGGGACGAGAAAAACGGGTTGGATTATAGGAAGGAGATGGACCGTTTGCGAGCGATCAAGCGACGTACTGGTGGTGCCTCTCCTGGCCTCAGCGATACCGAAAACTCTGGTGGTCCACCGGATTATTCAGACTTTGAAGATGATGATGTGGAGAAGGAAAGCACACTCGTTGAAGAGGATATCGCAGCTCCTGCGAGCGCAACTGACCAGCAGTGGACACCTAGATTTATTCAACGACATCGGTCCTCACGTTCTCATTCCTCCTCCTCCTCGCCCTCTCAATCTTTGACATCGTCTCAACGGACAGCGGTAGCACCCACGCAGCCGACCCTCCCAAAGCCAACACCAACACCAGCACTAACCCAACCTCGACCAACCTCGACGCCAGTCTCAATGTCCATGCCGACACCAAACTCTCCTATCTCCCTCCTCGCCCCAGCCCCAGTCCCAGCTACGCCCTCCCTGCTCAACGCATTAGACAGAGTCGAGAAAGCACGCCGGGAAGCTTTCCAGGCCAATTTGACTCCTCTTGCAGGAACCATCCCGAACCTCGAACTCGAACATCCGAAACCCAATCCGAGTCTGTCGAAAGCCCCACTGTGACTGAGGCTGAGATACCGATACGCGAAGAAGGGAGGGGACAGCGCTGGCAGGACTTTTGGAGGGAGGTGAAGGATGTTTCGAGGGAGAAAGGTGCGGAGGCTCCGGTCGTGGCTCGGATGAAGGATCATGCACATGGTAAGCGGTAGGTGGAGCGATTCTGCGCCGACGTGACTTTCCCTACTCTCCTACTCTCTACTCTCCGCGCTTTCTTCCTATTCTCTCCCTACACATACCCAGTTCGTACCATACCCATATCCTTATCCTTATCCTTCTCATCCCGTCGTTTCCATCCGTCGTTTAATTCATTCGTTCTTTTCATGTTTGTTATAGTCGCTGTAGGTTCGTTTTTTTTCTTTTATTATTTTTTATTTCTACTCTGTGCTTCACATATCACTCACGCTACTCGCTCACGATCTACTTCATGTTATGGTTTGGCTTTACGATGTTACTTACGACGCTCACGAATCTTACGCGTTACGATTGTAGTTTTTAGTTTGTTTACAGGTTTTTGTTTGCGTATTTAGCCAATGTACGCTCGTGTATTTTGTTGTGCTAGTTTGGGATTGAGGCGTGCTATTCCATGGGAAGAATTGGTCTCAAAGGCATGTCCTACTCAAATAACTTGGAGCCTTCTATCGATGGCATCGATAACTGCGATCCCAAAGTCGTGTTTTTATATAAGCTTGATGGAGGCGAGTTTTGTCAGGAACTATAAGAATATTTGCTATGGGTTTCTTGCCACCACACCAAATCTGATTGGCGAAGTTTTCCGCCGCTCGAAATCGGACTCATGAATGAGGCCGTCGTCCAGTCGATGTGAAGTTAAGCGAGACTGAGGTGACTTGCAATTGGACAAAATGTCATGTTTCTGTATGGTGATTGCTGGTACGTGAGATAGTTATGTTCAAGGTTATGTTAAAATAATATATATCACAAGCACAGCAGTAAACTATGATACCAACAACTGCCTATACTTATGCAGTCTCACCGGACCTTGTAACTTGGCTGGGAACGCAGCGGGTTCAAGCTCAAAACCGGTCAATAGCTTCATCATGTGGCCAATTAACATGCACGTCAACTTGGAGGTGACTTAAAGTGCAAGTTTCCATGAACATTACCCGTCAATCTCCATCCTCCTCCCCAGTCATACAATGGCTAACGCTTTGTCCTCATCGATGGGATCTCTGTGTATCACCCGTGAGTGGAGTAGTTTCATAAAGTTTTTGTCCCAGGTTTGCTCAGAAACTTGAAAGTTGTCCGCCTTCATTCGGCTAAACTCGGACCGGATTCACGAAAGTATTTTGCAAAAGTCACCATTGATGGTAAAGGACATACGACTACAAGTACCACTTTGTCAGTAGGATGGGATGGCAATCGGATGGCCTTCAGGTTCGCAGGTTTTTTTTTTGTTTTGGCTCGGCTAAGGACAAGTCGAATCATTTAGTGATGTCCGTGGTTCGTCTAAATTGAGGATTGAGGTCTTCAGGCATCGCAAACTCCATTCGGATATGCTTGTTGGGAGCTACGAAGAGGAAGTTGAAAACTTCTTAATGAAGACCTTCAACGGAAGTGAGAACGATTAATTTACCTTCTGATTCTGTTATTCTTATTCGTGCTTTCTAGGTAGTGTTGTTCAACCTCTTCGCAGTACCTCCAATGACTTAGTAGACCGTATTGAGCTCAAGGTTGATGTGGAAGCCAGCCGAAACTCCGTTGCCATGGCTGCTGCAGTTCAAAGAGCAAAAATCCAAGCATCTCGACTCCAACGCTCTTCAAGCTCAGTCACTACCTCAATTTCACCGATCCAAACACCGGATAATGTTTATTCCGGTACTACCGAGGATGCACTGGGAAATTTCATCCCTTTACTTGAGAAGCTGCAGGTATTCTCAAACCTAGCTAACTCCGTTGCGGAGGTGAGTTTTGGGTAGGTTTCAATTTGAATAACTTGGTTGTGACAACTCTTTCCAGATTCATCCCTATGCAGATGCTGCGTACAGCATAGTTTCCTTGGCATACAAAGTGAGCGTCTAGCCCTTGTCATACACAATTGAGCCTTAGCAGTCTGTAGACTGTCCTTGCTCAAATGCAGCGTGATAAAAACATTCTTGCCCTTATTGATACTATGGACGATATTTACAG